CCACATGGTGGCTCACAACCATCTGTAATGAGATCTGGTGCCCTCTTCTGGCCTGCAGACATACGTGCAGACAAAACACTGTATACATAATAAATAAATATATCTTAAAAAAAAGAAAGAAAGAAAGAAAAGAAAAGGGCTGTTCAAGAATCTGGGGGAAAGGAAAATTGTTTCAAATGATCTTGTTATCAGCACATGGCAGGTTAGTTAGTTGTGCTGGTATGATAGTGGTATAGCTGTGGGTACAACTAACTACTTTCTGGTTGGTTGTAAAGCACAGGGGAGAACCCAGGTTTGGTACTGTAAGTGAGTAAATCCTGTGTCAGGGAGGTCATAGGCTTTGGAGGGGAGTCTACTACGGTTGCGTTAAATGGATGCACATGTCCATCAATCGGTCTTCAAAGCATGTGTATCCAGACCCACAGAGTACTGCTCCTGCCCATCACTGTTGTGAAGAGGAATTTCTCTTTTTCAGTGGTTACTATGGCGACTCACAGCTAACCCAGTTGCTAAGTGTGTTACTCTCGGTCTACACTATTGACATCAATATTTCTCCGGTACGTGGCTCAGGGAACATTGTGGGAGTCTGTGTGGATGTAAGAACTGTGTGGATGGAGGAAGAGGCCTAATGTTGCGCAGTTATTTACTCCACATTAAAACATTCCCTTGCTGGAGTGAAAGAGACACTCCTGAAACCCTCAAAAAAGCTGAAGTCCCAAAAGTCCACTCTCGGGGGTTACACCAGCGGTTAACCATTACTTCTGGTTAGGAACACTTTGACGATGGAGCTTCTGACAGTTTGTTCAGAGAACCCAGTGGTACACCGTCCATAGTCATTACTCATGTCAAGGTGGGTTCTCGGTGACACAATCTGAGTCTCCCATGATGAAGTAAGTAACTCATCATCTGATCCTGCATCTGATAAGCAACTCTGATGAAGCCATTGCCTGATCAAGACAGACTGGAGGCGGGGGGAGCATTTGTTTACTCTACCATTAGTGTGATATCTGGAGGTAAAGATGCTATTGCTTCATGTCTCCCCCAAAACAGAGACCCTGGCCCTAACAGAGCTCACCAGTGAGAAGCTGGAGTTTATGCGGTATTACCATGAGCCCAGGACTCCCATAACCTCACACTGAAATGTTTTCATTGACCTAATTACCCGATCTATAACTGTCACCAGGCTCTGCCTAGTCAATTTCAGCAGTTAACTTGGTACAGCCTGGATCCACCTTCTGAAGGAGTCTCAATTGAGGTACTGTCCAGATCAGACTGATGTGTGGGCACATCTGTGAGGGACTGTCTTAATTTATGATTGATGAGGGAGGGCTGAGCCTATTGTGGATAGCACCAACCCTAGGTAGGTGGGCCTGGGCTGAATAAGAAGACTAGCTGAGCATAAGCCTATGAGTGAGGAGAGGGCAAACCAGCTGGCAGGCAGCAGCCTGTACGGTTCCTGATGCGCTTCCTCACGGTGAGTGAGTTCCCTAGTCAGAGTGAGTGCTGCGTGGATTGGCAAGGAGTCTGCCTTGAGCTCTTGGCCTGACTTCCCTCAATGATGGACTGTTACCCGAAAGTGTCAGATGAAATAAGCCTTTCTTCCCCTATGCTCATTTTGGTAGAGCATTTTTACCACAGCAACCGAAAAGCACACTAGAACAGGCTCACAGAATCCAAAGTCCACGTGTGTTCTTCTAGGGGAGGAAAAACCATTTCTCTGCTGTGTGTACACAGTTCAAGGACAGCAACTACCTGGGAACACTGCTGCGTCATTCCCCAGGTCCCCTGGACGTGCTCTGGAATCTCTGTGACAGGAGAGCATATGCCAGCAGAGAACCAGAGGCTTGGGAAGGGCAATTCTTGTGCTTCCCTGACTCACAAAGCTGTCAGAAGGGCCTCCATTTGAGTAAGAGACTGCTCTAGAAATCAATAGTCACAGACATCTGTGTAACAGTAGCCTTGTGGGTGAGCAGGAGAAAAGTGGTGGGCTGTTGTATTTAGAGAGGTACCGGGAGGTAGGCCTGAAGGAGGAGGGTGGGTCTGAAGAGCGGACCGTAGGTACACAGCAAGGAAGCAAGATACACCTAGCCAAAGAATTTTGCCTTACTGTACCAAACCCAGGCTCTCTCTGTGGTGATATTTTATTTCTGCTGAAATGTATTTATGCTTTAATAAATAAAGTTTGTCTGGACATCAGAGGAAAAAGCTAGCCACAACACTGAAATCATGTAATGTTAGCACACACCTTTAATCCTATCACTTGGCAGGCAGGATCTCTGTGTATTCAAGGCCACATTGGAAACAGGGCTAGGTGTGGTGGCACACACCTTAAATTCCAACACTAGTTAACCATGGAGGTCTGGAGGTCTGTACAGATAGACAGGAAGTGACAGAGCTGGGCAGGAAGAGGAAGTGATGAAGCTAGACAGAGCAAATCAGATGGCAGAACAGCAAGGCATATAGGCGTGGGTAGACAGGAAGTAACTTGCATTTTGGAAGCTGCGGAGTTGGTGAGGTAAGGTCAGCTGTGGCTTTCTCTATTTCTCTGATCTCTCCCAGGCTTTTACCCATACATCTGGCTCCATGTTTTTTATTTAATAAGACCGTTGAGAAATTCATCTACATCTCTCTATGGAGTGACCCTTAAGTCCATTCAGAAAGTAGTTGTCTGTTCCCATAGCAACTATGACACTATCACACCAGCAAGACTATCTTGCCTGAGGTGATTCAACAGCCCTCCCATTAACCCCCGACAGCCCGCATAGCACTTTCTAACACTGGAAATGCCAACTAGCAAGGAGAAAGGTTTTGTTTGTTTGTTTATTTGTTTGTTTGTCTATGTGGAAGTCCCAGAGGGAAGCATGTGTTTCTGGAAAACACATCACTTTGGTCTGGAGCCATTCTACAACTTGCCAAAAAGACACCATGAAGATACATGAGCCTGTGACAAGACCGGTTGTCAGGAAGGCAGAGAATTGCCTTTCAGGCCCCTCAGAGACAGCTGTGAGCAGGATACAATGCCAAGGGTGGGCAGTAGCTCAGTGCTGACTGGCTGAGGACAACCCAGACAGCTGTGACCAGCAGGTCCTTCTGGGTCGGGGATGTCCAGTGTGAGACAGTGTCAGACCTATGTGTCAGGGCTAGAGATGAAGTTGCAGAAATGGCAGTCTTGAAAGCATCAGCACACAGCTAGGTCTTAATTCATCCATGAGGGATGTAGGATGGCAAGGTCAGGCATGAAGCATCTAAGTTTCTGGAGTCGCTCCTGTCTTGGGACTGCGGCCACTCTAGCCTTGGTTCCCAAGGGCAGTAAATCTAGGACTCTCTCTAGTCTCACACCCTCTCCTGGACCCACAGAAACACTCCATTCATGGCCTCTACTTAGTCATGCTGGCCCACAAGACTGGGTCTAGTCAGTGTCAGCATGGATCACACAGGCTGGTCAGACCATGAAACTACCCCCACTGCATTAGTGGTCACAGACAGCCCTCTACAGGAAGTTGGTTTTGGAGGAAATGGAGCACTCCATTACCCACCATCAAACATACAGGATTCCAATGACCATGACAAATAAGCCTTTATGGTCCACTGCAACATTGGGGTTCGCTTGTGATAACACAGTGAGCTGAAGGCTGACAGATGCATGGGGAAATAAGATCATAGCTCATGTTTCTGAGCCAAAGGGAGTGGGAGCCTGAAATGAATTGAAGGGACAGTCAGTAGCTTTGCTATTGGGTTGAAGAAGGACTTGCCTGTCTTCTGGAAACCCATGCCCTTGTAGAGGGCCACGGCATCATGCATCAGCACAGTGGTACGAAGAACAACGTCACTGTAGCCCTGGTCCCGTGCAAACTGGAGGACAGTTCTGATCAGCGCTTTCCCAATTCCCTGTCCTCGATGCTGTGAGGACACAGACAGGTGGAAGAGCTGCAGCTGCTTCCTGTTTAATGAGGGGTCCTTGACTGGCCGAGCAGCCGCCATGCCCACAACCTGGTCCTCAGTCTCAGCCACCAAGAAGCAGGAACCAAGCTCCCTCAGGTAGGACTTGGTGATGTCAGCCAGGTCTGTGTGTAAACACATGGCCACAAACTTCTTCAAGGGCTGTCTGGCAAGGAGCCACAGTAATAGAAGCAGAAGGAAGCCACACATAATGGCCAGCAGCCAGGAACCATACACTAGGACCAGGGCAATGGGTACCCCAAGTAAAACCAGGAGGGTTCGGGGCAGCATCAATGCATGGTGGAAGGAGGCGGGGATGTGCTCCTCCATGCCCCTAGAGAACAAGTCCAGGACCTGTTTGTGGTCCCTCTCCTGGTACTGGCGGATGTGATAAGAAGCCATGGGGAGACTTCTGGATCTCAAATTCGCATCCACAAGGGACAGTCAGACCAGCCAGCACACCTTCACCAAGCCCTGCCGAAGAGGAAAACAACAACAACAAAAACATGTGAGTCCCCTGAGACCCTTCTACCCTGCCCTGGGCCTCCTCAGAGCTATGTAAAATTTACTCCAGTGTTTTCTCCTATCACCGGGGAAGCAATAGGGCGTCACCGGAACGAAGTGTGAGGCCGCTAACACCTGACCACTCCCTCGGTTTCTCCCTTTCGATCTTTGTGACTTTAGTCATGCCCTTCACCCCTCCGAGCCTTTAGGTCTTCCTCTTTAAATACAGTAAAATAACACTTGGTTTCCTGTGTAATTATGAGGCTGTAACATGGTGGCCTGTGTGTAGTGTGTAAGTATATAGTCTCTTCCCCATTACTCTCAATCACAGGCTCTCTGAACTTTTGGTGCCTTGAGACAGTTTCCTGTGGCAGGAAATCTGGTATCCAGCTCTTTCCGCTTTAGGGTCCACACATTGTGGAATCCTGGGTTCCCAAGCACAAGTTTCAGAAAAACCTCTTCCCTTTGATTAGAAGGGTTAACTTAGTGAAAAGTAACAGCTTAAGCCAAACACATGCCTTCCCACCACGAGTCCCCAGGAAGGCTGAGCAGCTCCAGGCCCACAGAGACCCCCAGCCTTGCCCTGTTCTTTCACCTGGTAGCACAGAGCAGAGAATCCCCGGACACTGTAGACTCGACATTCAGAAGAACCTGGCAGGACCTGTCCCCCTCTGGGGAGAAAACTTGGGCTGGTGCCTCATTGGCTAACTCCAGGGTAATCATAAACCAAAGATCAAGAACTAGACATGACAGAGGAGAAAGGACCTGTCCACTCACTTTCTGATCCCCATGGAGCTAATCTGGGAGGAAAAGCAGGCCTGAGGTGGTCCCTGAGTCCTTAACCTTGTGACAGGGTTCCCACCTCTCTTCCTGATTTATTCAAGTCACACTGTCTCACACACAGCACCCTTGGTGGCCTCTCTGAGGACATCCTGGTCCCATGTGCATACCTTCTCTGCAACAGAGCAACTCACCCGGAGCTCACCTGTCCTTGACAAGAGTTCAGGTCCTTTGTGGCCGAGTTTCTCCCTGTCTAAGCTTGCCTGTGATAGACCCCAGACCCAGGGTCCTACCTTCTCAGTTGGGCGCCCCAAGAATCCAGACTCTGGTCCAGTTGATGCAAACAGCAAGAGGTTTATTGATGCGCCTGTACAGTCGGGCTACTCTCCTCCCAAGAGCAAGAGTCGCGCCCACTGCAGCCACATGGATACTTTTAAAGGAAAAAACCCACAAAAGCCATAAGATTACAATTCCCATACAATTTCGTTTCGATTGATTTATGTCTAAAGGCTAATTTCATAAGATCATGGCCTGACCACAGGGTGGGTACAGTCACATCTGCATGCACATTCTTCCCGAAACCTCAAGGGGGGTATCAGGGTGGGAGTGAAGTTTCACAAAGGTTACAGTGGTCTTTCCTGGAACACTTGCAATTATCCCAGTCACAGTTGAGCACATCTCTTAATAGAAATCTCTTTACATTGTTACATTGTGGGCAGGGGTGGTTGGGTAATGGATGAGTCAGTTTGCCCTTGGAACTAGCTTTTTAGTTCCTCATTCTCCTGGGGCTTGGGGGTGTAAGCCTGAAGGGTTAGGGTCTTTCACCTGCACCTGTTCTAGGACAATGAATGCCTGAGGTCTGCAGTACCCTCCGGCCCCTCCCCTTCAACTATCACGTGGTTTTACCTGCTGTGCTGCCCCTGGATGACAGGCCCTGGACAGCAGACGGCCCTGTGAGCTCCGGGAGCTGCTGAGAGCATGGAAGACTCTTCATCCATCTCACATATCTTAGCTGAGGGGTTGCCCTCACAGGCAAGAGCAAATCAGAGGGACACCCTTCTCCAAGGAGCTGTCCCGTGAAAGCAAGCCTCCTCCTCCATCTGCAACTGTGCCCTGCAGGCTTGGGAAGGTCCTGCTGTCCCCTCCCATGATTCCCTGCACAGGTGGAGAGGAGGCTACAGTGAGTTCTTTGGGGCCAAGGAAAAGCAGGACAGCCTCACAGCAGTGTCAAGGACCAGAGGGCGATGATGCTGAGATAGAGGAGGAATAGAGGAAGGATGGTTGGTCTCCTGAGCAGTGAGGGCTGCTCATCAGGGTGAACAGACAGAAGCAGGGATGCTCCTGAGGCAGGACCAAGGCACCTTGGGAAAGGATGGTCCGCGAGTGAAGGAGTGGCTGCTACTAGTAGAGACCTGCTTATACAGGACCCGCACCCCATCCAAGTAGTAGACATCACATTCCAGGTGCACGTGAGGCTATGAATATGCTTTTAGCTGGGATGCTAAATGACAGCTGTGGTGGGGAAACCATATTTGTCTTTGTTCACTTGAAACATGAGTCAGTCGTGGAAGAAAGAGAAGCTGTGCATAGAGACCTGTGGATGGTCTTGGCAAAACAAGGGTCCCCCCTGTGTGCAGGCTGCTTGCTGCAGAAGCCTGTGGTCAACCAGATGTCCTAGAAATTAACACTCAGTGCTGGTTCCCAAAAGGAACCCTGGCACATAGCTGAGTTGGGGACAGGTTCAAAAGATATATATATATATATATATATATATATATATATAGTTACTACAGGGTCTTGTTTGCCCACAATGTTGTGGACCTAGTGGCCTTGTTTGCAAGGGAGCCTTGTTCAGTGTTGACTGAGGAGACGTCAGCAAGAGCAGCATGCCTTATGGCCTGTCCAATGAGACAAAGGCCAGACAGTGAAATCTGTACCACTTTGAGGTGCACTGGGGACAGGAGTGACCAGGGTCAGCACCGCTCAGACAGCAGTGAGCAGGAGGTCGGCCTCAGAGGTGCAGAGAGGGCACAGCACAACGTCTAAGCTCATGTAGGGAGAGGCTAGTTTTGGAAGCTCAGGGGTAGTCTCTAAGAATCTGCTGCCTGCAGATTCTTCATGGCAAACCAGAGGCTGCACCCCAAGTCCTGGTGGAGGCTGTGATGTTTCAGGATGTTTATCTTCAAGCTAGGATTCCAGGCTAACCATTCTCATGATGCTCAGGAGGAAATGGGTGTTACGTAGCAGTTTCCCACACAGGATGTTTATAGGGAGGCAAAACAATGAAATGCTGCAAGGAGAGGAGAAATACTCCACTTGCTGGAAGCTTCTTAAACTCAAGAATTAAGCAACTCAAGAACTGCAGAAAGTCCCTGAAACTGACAAGACTGACTATGCTTCCTCCTCAAGCATAGAAGTATATATGAGCAATAAGTAGACTGTTGGGAGACTCTAGGACAAGTTGAACTACCTGAAAGAAATGGAGATCAGCCGAATCACCTAGAAGAGATGCAGACCTACTGAGCCATTTGGAAAAAATACTCTTCAACCTGTTGAGGTATTGGTATGCAGTTCACTCAGGTTTTCCTCTTTTTGTGATCTGTCACCTACGATGGGGTGGCTTTTGATGATGCAGCTGTTTTTGAATCATTCCTGCTCCTGTGAGTAACCATTCACCAATATTTCTGTACGTGACCCAGTAAAACTCATTGGTTCACTGAGCTGGACTTTAAACGGTGTCTGTACTTTGGCCGTCATTGGCTCTGTATGTGGTAAGTAGGCGCGTATGCGTGTGTGCGTGTGCGTGTGCGTGTGCGTGTGCGTGTGCGTGTGTGTGTGTGTGTGTGTGTGTGTGTGTGTGTGTTTGAAGGGACTCTAGCCAGTCTGAGCATGGCAGACATGGCTCTGGAAGGCCTTGCCCTTCCCCCATTCCCTCGGCCTTGCTAAAAACCGTTAGATTACATTCCTAGAGCTAGGCACCGAGGTCTATTCCCTTATTTGGCCACTCCTCCTCCTGAGGCTGCCTGCCAAGGTCCAGCCATCAAAGTATTGAAGTCCAGCAATCAGAAGCCCCCTTTGGCTCACCTAATTAACATGCCCAATTAAAATTAAACACCTCATCCTAATTTGGTGTTCCCCCTTGTACCTTTGTAAATGCCGTTTTCCTATGTGCCATGTCTGTCTCCTCTCTACCCAGAGGCAGTCCTTTGTCCCCCTCAGGGACAGATACCCCTGCCCCCTCTCCCTTGTTCCCTTCCCCTTCTCCCTCATCCTTTATCTCCTGCCTTTGTCTCTTATTCCCTGCTCTCTGTCCCTCTGGGGCAAATAAATCTCCTTTGTGCTGAGAACTTGGTCTTGGGGCCCCTGAGCCAATTCCCTTACAGTATTGTGTCTTCCCAGGAATATTATCATACAACAATGGCTCACCCTGTCTCAGGACATTTTGATATTGTCTCTAACATGTGAATGCTAAGCAAAGTTAAACTAGGGGCCTGAAGTGGGGAGCAGAGGCTGTGATTGTGGCCATGCAGATTCTGGGTCATATCACCTCCAGAAGGAACAGAAGTTAAACTGAAGGCTTCATGGGTTTTACTGACCCTCTGTGCCCTCATATCCTTGGTGGCTTCTCCCAAACCCAGCAGCCTCAGTCCCAATCTATCTTGAAGGCATGTTGGACCTTGTGGTTCTTCTGACACTCTGTGCCCAGTGTCGCCTTCCTCCCACCACTGGCCTCATGGGTCCTAGGCTGCTCTCTAGCCATAATGGCAGCTGCACTTGCTTTGTTTGCCACCAGCTGAAAGGTGAGAGGTCATGCCCCACAATTCCTAGTATCAGAGTGTCTTAGTTAGGCTTTTATTGCTGTGAAGAGACACCATGACCATGGCAACTTTCTTCTAAAGGAAAATATTAAATTGGGGCTGACTTAACAGTTCAGAGGTTTAGTCCATTATCACCATGGAGGGAAGCATGGCAGCACACAGGCAGACATGGTGCTGAGAGGTCTACATATTGATCTGCAATCATAGGAGGAGACAGTGAGCCACTAGGCCTGGTTGGAGCTTCTGAAACCTCAAAGCCCACCTCCAGGGACATACATCTTCCAACGAGGCCACACCTCCTCCAGCAAGGTCACACCTAATAGTCCCACTCCCTATGAGCCTAGGGGAGCCATTTCCATTCAAACCACCACCCAAAGGATGGTTAGAGGTCAGTATCAGCGTTATGCACCCTAAAATAAAAGTGAGTGTGTGAATGTGTGCTTGTGTGTTGTAACAGGCTACAGTTGTAACAAGGCCCCCGACCTTGGTAGGCACCAAAACCTTAGCACAATTGACTCCATGATGGAAGTGCATTCAGGCTGTAAAATTTAACACATATATGCACCACCTGCCAAAACTAAAACGAAGGCCTAATCCATTAATAGAGTTCTGAGAGTCTCAAAATGTGCTAACCCTGCTTTTTAGCTTCTGTTCTGCTTCTGGATAACTGTTCTTGTTAACCAAATGATGTCAAACAAGGACATGGTTTTCATGCTTAGAAGCTGATCCTGAGGAAGGATCGGGGTTACTGTAGGATCCTGAGCACCCAGTATAGTTGGCGACTGACTAATGAAGACTTCCTGTTGGCTCAACCCATGTCTGAGCAGTCTTCTCTGGTGGGCACCCACAACACAGCGACAGCCAGTCTCTAAGCTCACTAGTTCATTACAGCCAAACTAAAACCCACAGCAGTGCCTCAGGAGCCCTGTCGGGGGGGGGGGGGGGGGCTTCTTAGCCCAGTTCCTGGGTCAAAAACCTCACAAGCGACAGAAGCTCTGGGGACGGTGGCAGAAGGAGTGGCTTAAAAGCTTCCTCACGGACATGACAGATACTGTTCACCTGTCTGCTTCACGCCAACAGTGGAGAACAGATAATGGTATACGCTAAAGAGTGCAGAGGTAAACCCTCAGGACCCCAGGGCCTCGTTCGCTTTCTTGAAGGCTTCTGGTGCTCCATGCTTTGTGTGCACTGTCTAGTTTTCACTATAGCACAAGATGCTAGGATGGAGGAAACCCACTCATTCTGTTTACTTAAAAAAAAAAAAAAATCAAGCCAGAGGGTGGTGGCACACGCCTTTAATCCCAGCACTGTGGAGACAGAGGCAGGTGGATCTCTGTGAGCACAAGGCCAGCCTGGTCTACAGAGTTCCAGGATAACCAGAGCTACACAGAGAAATGCTGTCTCAAAAAAAAAAAAAAAAATTCAAACTAGGCATGGTGGAAGACACCTGTAATCCAGTGTTCAGGAGCCTGAGGCAAGAGAGGATTGAGAGTATGAGGCCAGCCTGGGCTATGTAGCAAGAGACTGTCTCAAAAAAAAAAAAAAAAAAAAAGATTTTTTTTCAAACCTACAGATTAAACATAATTGATATGGCAATTCTGTGGTGGTGGTGGTGATATTGAGAACAATAGAGACTTTCTTAGCTTGGGGGACTAGGGTCCTGGAAAACTTGATAGTCACAAAAGCACCTCTAGCCAGTGGCTTTGGGGTCCTTGTCTCGAGAATTCCAAGACTGAAATATGTGGACCACAGAGGGTGAGTTTTAGAGACAAGATCATTATAGCTTTAGAAGCTTATGAGGAGGACAGACATGCCATTTGAGTTAACCCGGTGTGGAGGTCAGCCAGAGGGCAGACAAGCAGACACATGAGGGAACTGGGGCATCACAGCGAGTAAGGAAACCCAGAGTACCAGCAAATGTGTACTTAGGCGCTGGTCAGCACCAGAGGGGACAGAGGGGCAGACCCAAGGCAACCTCATTGCTGCCATAGAGACTGCACTAAGGGCCGAGGATGCTGGGGAAGAAAGGTACATTACCGTATTAAAGGGCTAATTAATTGCTCCTCTTCTCTCATCAGTGAGCACTAAGATAAATCCACCATCCTGAGGGATGGTCCCTTGGACAGGTAATTGACAGGTACAATTGGATTAACTCTATTTTAAGAAAATTATTTTATCTTTAGTAGAAGTTTGTGGATAGGTGTTTTGCCTTCACGCGTGTCTGTGTATCTGATTTTCCAGAGGTCAGATTGCAGAGGTCAGATTGTCCAGGCTATTGCATCCTCTGGAACTAAAGTTACAGATAGTTGTGAGCTGCTGTGTGGGACTTGGAATTGAACCTGGGTCCTCTGGACCACCAGCCAGTACACTTAACCACTGAACCATTTCTCCAGGCCCTGGATTAACCCTCAAGCTAGCAAATGATGGCACATGTCCATTCTTTTCTTCAGGAGGCAATGGCCTTCCTTTAGTGGCCCTCAGTTCTACTCGAACACTGCCTCTTCCCAAAGCAGCACCCTCAAAACAATCAAGTGTGGGATTATCGGCACTAGCCACCACACCCAGATTCGCTTCCATTTGATCTTATTTGGGGGCGGGTGGAGAACAAGTGTGCCACAGTGTGCATGTGAAGACAATTTTCCATAATTAGTTCTTTACGTTCACTGTAGCTGTGGGATCCTGGCATTGAACTTGGCTCCCCCATAATGGAAAGAGTGGGACTGAGAAAAGGCACAAACTCCCTAGTGGTTTTTTAATACCAGAAGGCTGCTGTGTATACCCCTAATGCCAGAGCAGGGGCAAGGCTGCCCCCCAGCAATCTTGCAAGCAATGCCAGTTAATAAACACGTCCTCCACTTTGGACTGCCACACTGCTGGTGCAGTTGATGTGTACATTTATTAATATGAGTGTTATAAAGATCATCTGTGAAGCATTTGTTTCTCTCCTGGGGATGTGTTGGATCCTTGTGAGCCTCTGACCAAGAAAATGAATAAACTGTTGCTATTTCCCAGGAAGAAGTTAGCAGAAGTGCCCTTGTCTCTCAAGGGGTAGTTTTAGGCCCATTTAGGAGCAGTGTTCTCCACGTGAACCAGGTAAGGCCAGAGCCTGTGTTGGCTTTGCAAACACTGCCCATTTCTAGCTGGAATGTAGTGCTGGCGAAGGGGATGTAGGGGGTGGAGTATGGCTCAGTCAGAAAAGCGCTCGCCACACAGGCATCAGGACCAGAGTTGGATCCCTAGCAATCCTGGCTCTGAGGAGGCAGAGACAAGAGGATCCCTAGGACTCTCTGGCCAGCCAATGTAGCCTAGTGGATGAGTCCCAGGTCCCAGTGAGAGACTCTGTCACCACAACAAGAGGGTAGATGGCTCCTGAGAAATGACATCTGAGGTTGACCTCTAACCTCTGTACCTCTATGGGTGTGTACCTACACTGGAACAGCAACCTACAGAGAGAGAGAGAGAGAGATAGACAGGCAGAGAGAGAGAGAGAGAGAGAGAGAGAGAGAGAGAGAGAGAGAGAGAGAGAGGAGAAGGAGGAGGAGGAAAGAGAAAGACAGAAAAGACAGAGTTGTCCCATGGGTCACGTGTATTTGACCTTGGAAGAAAAGCCAGCAGGGGTAGCGTGGAGGAGGGGCTGTGTAAAGCAGGGGTCACTGTTGCTCCCAGGCTTGGGAAGGACAAGCAAGGCTGAGTCAGCGTGGAGGAGGTGTCTTTGGCACAGCCACCCACATTCAGAACCCAGCTTCATTTGGGGAGAATCCCATGGCTCACAGGCTCTGTCTGTGGCCTCCTGCTGCGACCCTCCACTTCACCCCATGCCAACCTGGGCCTGCTCAGCAGCCTGGAGCTGCGCTGGCTCATGGCCACTCCTGGCTCTGGGCTGTTTTTCTGGCTTCCCTGCAAATCCATTCAGTCACCATGGAGAGCGAAGCATGGCCTTCTGGGTCAGTTGCTTTGGGGACAAAATGTAGATGCATCACCACTGCCTGTCCTAGATGCCTGCATAGCCCTTCTTACCTGGGCCAGCACCTTCCCCTCCCTCCTTCCCTTTCTCCCTCCCTCTTTCCCTCCCTCCCTCCCTCCCTGTGTCCTAGAGACTGGCCTTCTGTACTTCCAGAGCCAGAGCAGCAAGAGGCCACTTTTCAGCCTTCACTTGGGGTTGGCGTGTTGGGGATGGGGTGGGAGGCCTGGAAGAGATTGGGGGGTGGAGGGAGGGTGAGCTGGTGCTCTGCCCGGGACCTCCTTGAGGACAGGGTCTATTCCCAGCTGTCCAGGCTCCCCAAACATTCCCTCCCTTCCTGTCATCAGACTTGTGCTCATCCTGTTCAGGCCTGTAGCCACCGCATGCTGGCTTCAGAGCAGCCCGGTGTAGGTCCTGCCGTTCACTGTGGGGGTCAGCTCCTCATGACTGTCATTCAGTTCCTGAGACAAGTCACCTGCAAAGTGAAAGGTTTGTTTTCGCTCAGAGTTTTGGAGGTTCTAGTCCAGGACTCCGAGGCCTTAAAAGGAGGGACACAGGAGGCTCAGACACTGGCTCAGGAGATTGTCCTTAAAACCCTGGGCTGGATGGGATGGGACGAGATGAGTCCCAGGTGGGTGGCCTCTGGATCTCAACAGAGCACCAAACGAGGCCCAAAGTACATCACAGCAAGGGCAGGGCTGGCTGAAAGTGTGTTGGTTTGAAAGAAAATGGAACCCCTAGACCCGAAGGGAGTGGCACTATTAGGAGGTGTGGCCTTGTTGGAGGAAGTGTGTCGCTGGGGGGGGGGGTGTTTTGAGGGCTCATGTATGCTCAATCTATGCCCAGTGTGGTACACAGTCTCCTTCTGCTGCCTAAGGATCAAGATGTAGAACCCTCTGCTCCTTCTCCAGCACCATGTCTGCCTGCATGCTGCTTTGCTTCCCGCCATGATGACAATGGACTAAACGTCTGAAACTGTAAGGCACCCCCAATTAAATGCTTTCCTTTATAAGAGTTGCTGTGGTCATGGTGCTCTTCACAGTAATAAAACCCTAACTAAGACAGAAGGACAGTAGTCCTAACAGGTGCCCTTTACCAGCAGCAGGGATGGATACCTCAGTGAGAAGCTGACACACTGTTCTCTCTTTGTCAGAGTGGAATGGATGGAAGGAGGCTACCTAAAAAGGAAGTTATGCCCTTCAGTTCTGGGACAGCTCCTGTACCGAGACATCCCTCAGGCATGTCTTCAAATGTATGTGGTCACAGAGACCAGAGCCTTCTTCCTCCCAGAGGCCCGATGAGGTGCACACTCGTGGCTAGCAGCAACATTTGCCCAGTGGGTTTCTTGAAGGTGGATGCCCATCTTGATGGGAAAGAGGACAATTTTAAACGTATATATCTAGATACTAACTTCATAATATATTCTAAATGTACCTTAAAAGATTATTATTATTATTATTATTATTATTATTATTATTATTATTACTACAGCAGTTAGGGCCTCATATCTGCTGGGAAAGTGCGTATGCTATATTCCCAGCTCCAGACCCCAGCACATATTTAATATTTAAAGACCTCAATGTTTTTGTTTTGTTCTGTTTTTCTCTATTTTTATTTTCTGTGTATGGGTGAGTTAGTGGCTGAGCTTTTTTAAGTAATATTAAGTCTCTGTTCGGTTATTCGGGAGCTGGCAGACAGGACAGAAACTTCTGCCAACAATTCACCAAGGTAGTTGTGTTTGAATAAGAATGGCCCCCATAGGCTCTTAGATGTGAATGCTTGGTCACCAGGGAGTGGCCCTGTTGAAAGGATTAAGGAAGTGTGTCACTAGGGGGGCACTTGCAAGTTTCGAAGGCTCATACAAGTCTGTCTCTGCCTGAGGAACAGGATGCAGCTCCCAGCTCCTGCTCCAGCGCCATGCATGCCGCCATGCTCCCTCACACAATGATGATAATAGACTAAGTCTCTGAAACTGTAAGTACGCCTCCAATTAAATGCTGTCGAAGAGTTGCCTTGACTAAGACAGTAGTGTTAGGTGACGTTTCTTTTCCTTTTTCTTTTTTGGTCTGTTTTTGGTGTTGTGGTCTGTGAGGAAACATACCTTCCCAGGAAAAGTCAGGTGTAAAACACTGGGCACTGATAGAAAGTAAGCAAAGGTGAATCTGAAAGGAAGAGCTGCATCACCCTGCAGCAGTGACAAGGCATGCAGCCCAGGCCAATGCAGCCGGTTGCTGTCTGACCTCTGCAGGCCCACAATCGTCCACAGGTGAAATGACTGAGGCCATGCCATCCTGTCCCAATTGATTTTATGTCTGCTTAGTCACGTCTCAGGTTTCCACCCTGCACCAGCCACATCTGCCTTGGCAATGCTTCAAGGACTGTCTGTGACCTTGACCACGGGCCTTGGAAAGGAAGCAGATGTTACTGCGCTGCTTGCTCTGAGTCCCTCACAATACCTGCCCCTCCTGAGTACTGGTATAATTATGATTTCACCTCTAAAAGCACTGTAACCCCGAGCTTGGGCACCAAGAGGCTTTTCAGAGGCCTGAGCTCACTCTTCTTGGTCTGTCTGTCAATGAAAAAAAGGACTCAACACTTCTAATTTGCTCGATCAGTGTGGTTGTCAATAACTATCTCCTATGGATTATTTCATAGGTACCACACAAAGTAAATAAATGTAATAAATAAATAAATGTTCGAAAACAACCAATCAACCAAAAAATGATTGTTCAGTCAATTCCAGGTATGGTGTACAAGTTGTCTGAATCAATCCAGTCATTTTCTTCAGTACCTAACCAAATGAACAAATTAATACAGTAAGCTGGTTGGCTCTGAAGGAAAGAGCTCAGGGATGTGTGCCCTAAAACAAGAAGTACTCAGCAAAGCCCCTTCTAAAGCCATGCCCTGCATAGTAAATACCTCTGCCAGGCCACCTGCCAGTGATTGTTGGTTCAAGGCAGGAGTGGCCATGTTCTGATAGCTAAATTTGAACTTACTATTTGTGGTCAAGGCCATCTGATTTATTAAGTCTTATGTAACCCTTCCCATGATCCTTAAAACCTCCTTTGGGGCTGGGGAGATGGCCGAGTTGTTAGAAGAACTTGTTTCTCTTCCAGAAGACCTGGGTTCAGTGTCCAGGACCCATATGGTGGCTTACAACCATTACATGGGATCTGACATCTTCTGACCTCCATGGCACCAGGCATCCATGGGGTACGTATATACATACATATAGTCAATGACCTGTGCACAAAATATGTTTTCAGCAGTTTTGTCAGAGATTGAAACATTCCATCCTGCAGGGAAGCTCCTTAATAAGCAGGAAGGTAAACAACTTACAACAGCTTCAGGAAGTTTCTGAAACTGACCAGATTCACCCCATCTTCCCCGGTAAGAGTAAGCAATAAAGCTGCAAAGAAGACTCAGATAAGCCAAGCTGCAAAGAAAACTGAGACCAGACCAGCTGCTGAGAAAAAGCAGAAACCTGCCGAGCTGCCTGGAAGAACTCTCTAACCTGTTGTAGTGCCTGTGTGCGAGTCATTTCTGCTCCTGTAAGCACCCCTCTTCCATATTCCGGTAAGTAGCCCACAATAAAACTCACTAATTCATCAAGTTGGACCTTGGGGATATCTGTACTTCGGTCTGTCGTGGACTCAATGTCTGAAGTGAGTCGACGTGCGTTGCATCTCCTCAGGAAAAGTTTTGCCACACAACAACAACAATAACAACAACAACAACAAAAATCTAAGAAAGAAACCCTTCTCCCTGCCTCAGCGATTGGAAAGCACAGTTTGGCAAGACACACATGTATTTTGCAATTGAAAGAGTTAAATCCCTCACCTGGATCTGGCCTGACTCCCAGTGTTTGCTAAAGGATTACTTGACTCTCCCTAAGTAAAGCAGGAGATAAAGTATTTGCCTTAGGAATTATAAAACATGGAAACTTAAAGCCTGTCCCAGTGGGGTTATAACCTCAGCCATGGTAAAGCGTGAGGCAGTAAAACCTGTCACACTGGTGATTAGCACACAACACCAAATGTGTCCTAATCTTAAGATTGCAAACGCTGCCTGTTCTAATTGGCTGACCTTAAACTCTTTTGTAAACGTACAGGCCTGCTTTTGTGATTTTTGTGAACGTTTTGTCGGTCCTAACTGGTTGACGTATGGTTGAACCCAACAACTCTGTATTCCCGCTATACTGTCTGTGTGTCCCAGTATTGCCTCTGCTCGTCTCCTATTCCAGTGGGGAGTGAGGAGCCCCAGCTGAGATAAAGATTTTTTTTACTTTTGCAACACTACTGCCTCTAAGAATTCTTTGATCTAAAATTGGGGATACAACAGCAATGACCGGTGGTTCCCCATGAACTTCATTCATCTTTGGAGAATATTCCTCTGTTTGCTCGTTTACCAAAACGAGAAATAAGAATCAAACTCTCTTTGCCTGGCTGGTCACCAGATCCCAGCTGCAGCCTCAAGTGGCCCGAGGCTTGCTGGGTGCTCCCATCCTTGGCCCAGCCCCCTCCAGGATCTCCTCAGACCAGGAGCGGAGCCAAGTCCAGCAGAGCCAAGGCCCGTCCTGCTGAGGCCCACAGGGAGCCAGCAGCCAGGTTAAAGCAAGAATATAAAAGAAATAAGAAAGAAAGAAAGAAAGAAAGAGAGAGAGAGAGAGAGAGAGAGAGAGAGAGAGAGAGAGGGAGGGAGGGAGGGAGGGAGGGAAGGAAGGAAGGAAGGAAGGAAGGAAGGAAGGAAGGAAGGAAGGAAGAAAGAAAGAATCAAACTCCCAGGTTAGCCCTTTCCAAAGCATCTCTTTGTGACATCACTGTCACAATCTCAGCTTAGGACTGGGTGGTGACAGGTTATGAGGAAGGAACCTCCCAACAGGATGTCGGAAATCATAAGCAGGACATGTGGTCAGGGTTAGAAAGAGGGACCTGGGTCCTGTGGCCTCTGGCTGTAGGTCTTGTCTGAGCTGCGTGGCCTTCCAGGAAGCCAGGGTAACCATGGAGTTCAAGGCCCCACTGGGGTCCCATTCACAAGTGTATGTATGCGCCTCTGGAAATGAACCACATGAGGGAACAAACTGAATGGACACCAGCCACTGGAGCGTGTGGCTCTGGCAGGCCCAGCCCTTCTCCCCATTCCCTCTACCTTCTAAAAACCGTCCGATTACATTCTAAAGCCAGCCACCGAGGTCCATTCCCTTATTTAGCCACTTCCTCCTCCTGAGGCTGACCACCAAGGTCCAGCTATCAATGTATTGAAGTCCAGCAATCAGAAGCCCCGTTGGCTCACCTAATTAACAAGCCCAATTTGCCGGGCGGTGGTGGCGCACGCCTTTAATCCCAGCACTCGGGAGGCAGAGCCAGGCGGATCGCTGTGAGTTCGAGGCCAGCCTGGGCTAC